GGGAGGGTTAATTCCTTGAGGGAAGAACCTTGCATGACTTATCTACTACTGTCGTCCGCTGAATAGAACACCCAGTCATTGTAACTGTATCTGGAGGAATGTTCACTCCATAGACACAACGATAATGACCGATTCGGGTGAAGCGGGTAGACCTTCTCTAAAGCAACTCTCTTAGTGTGTTCTCTGAAAGTTCCAGGAATATTCCGCGAATCTAGGGCCCCTGACCATAACACACCCTGATAATGAATGTAAATGAATGTATACAAGCTATCTTTCTGGTCCGGTACATGCGTTGTGTTCGTGGGAGGACAGTAGTTCCCCACAGACTTCCAGACAAACCCGTCATGCCAATCCCTTAGAGGAAATCTGAACCAATAAAAAAAAAAAGAAAAAAAAAGGGGAAACCAGGAAACCTGGACCATGTCTATTAATCAACTTTATTCCCCTCCTCCCCCTCCCACCCCCGCCCCCCTCAAAACTTCTTTTTTAATTACATCAACAACAAAAGAACTGTGAGACTTCTCCAAGATCGGTGAACTTGATCAAGGACTACTGAGGACATACCCACACCAGGATTTTTTTAGGGCCTCTGGGCGTAATTGCAGTCAGATACATCCAGGTCTGGCCGTAATTGTGGCCAGATACATACTGCAAAGTCCCGGTGTGAGTATGCCCTAAATCTTGCAGCAAAAGCTGCAAAACGGCATAACCAACCTCCTGATGAGTCGGTGAAAGTCCGACGAAACAGTCTGGCACAGTCATGTTTTTTCTTTTTCTTTTTCTTTTTCTTTTTCTTTTTCTTTTTCTTTTTCTTTTTCTTTTTCTTTTTTTTTTTAAGAGGAGCTGGTGAGTGCTTATCCATCAGTCAAATGCATCCTGGGCAGACTGTGGGAGTTCAACCTCCTGATGAGTCTGTGAAAGTCCGATGAAACAGTCTGGCACAGTCGTTTTTTTTTTTTTGTGTGTGTGGAGTTGTGTACAGTAAACATGACAACACACACACACACACACACAAAAAAAAAAAAAAAAAAAAAAAAAAAAACAGATCAGGTTGCGGGCTTCAAATCCATACAGAATGAGATCTATAGCAGACAGTAAGGTTGGGGGCTACCCCCTTGCCACTAGAAGGGGAAAAAGAACGAAGAAAAGAAAAAAGGGCAAGCTGAACAGCAGCAGAATAAAAAAAGAAAAGAAAAAAGGGCAAGCTGAACAGCAGCAGAATACCTTTCTCAGCTAGGCTACCAGAGTGGCCCAGGACCACTTGCCGGGCAGGCGACAGGCCCAACAAAAAAAAAATCATTTCCTTAAATTTTACTTTTTATTTTATATTTGGTAAAGAATTTCGATGTGACCTTGAGGCAAAAGTTGTTCAGTTTATTTTTTGCATAACATAATAATCATTAACATTGTTATTTAATATTTATCTTTTTTTTTTTTTTTTTTGCTGGAACCTTCCCTGGTCCAAGGTGACCCAGGCGGCCTGGCTGGTAGCCTAGTTTCTCCGACTTTCTCGGCCTTTTGGCTAAAAATAGATAAAGTGTAGTATCTGTTCTGATCAGTTCAATATCTGATCCAAAAAAAAAAAAAAAAAAAAAAAAAAAAAACCAGCAGCAGGAGCTGCAGGACACAAAATGACAAAAGTGTGTGCTGCAGCCCAACAGCAAGATAGCTGGCAGCAATTGCTATTATCCCCAGACTGGGACTATCCTTTTAGTAAATACCAAGGAATGAATTTGGCCGTCAGCTATGTCAAGTACATTTTAGGCTGGGACTGATCAATTTGACCATGATTAAGGTCACATACATGCACCTTACTGCGTGTCCTAGAATAGAGGATGAACACTATCAAACAAAGACAGATGTCTTTCCATTGAGCAGGCAGTCAGCAGTGAATTTTGCTGTTTTCCCTTTATTGGAATGCACACAGAAAGGAGGGGGAGGAGGGGGAGGTGGAGGAGGAGGAGGGGGAGGAGGAGGAGGAGGAGCACAAGATGCAGAAGGAGAAGGTCAGGAACCTGTCAAGCTAATATATCAAAAAAGAAAAAGAAAAAAGAAAAGGGAACTTGTCAACCAGATGCAGTTCCCCACCAATAAAACGAAGCAATGTGTTTGTTTTACAATTAAAAAACAAGAAAACAACAAAAATAAAATAAAATAAATGAAAAAACAAAAAGACTTACCAAGGAGACTTCCTATCTTAGTACTTCCTTACTGTTTCAACAACAACAACAACAAAAAAAAAAAAAAAAAAAAAAAAAAATGCCTTACCATCGAGCACCACGTGTTCCGCGCCAGGCACGCCTAAGGCGCACTCAACCGGTGTTATACCATCACCCCACACATCTCCACGTCCGCAGCAAAGCATATAACTTTGATAAGCAAAATCCTGTTGTGTGTTTGCACCAAGTAAGAAGTAAGTTGCGACACACAAAAAACTTGAAAAAAGAAACAGAATAGAACAGATTCAGGGACAGATTTAGAGATGGAGAGCACAGCAGCAACCAAGACTAAACCAAGACAGAAAGTAAGGAGACAGGAAATGGGGCCTCTTTGGGAACATACGCAAGCCCAGAAAGCGGGAAATCGGACCTGGAACCGGAGATAAAAATAAGTATAGACCCAGACGCCGCACCGCACCGCATGGAGGAGGGACTCAAATCGAACCTGGATAAGTTAAACCACTGCGGTACTTCCTAAAGCCGTGCCCGTTAACAAACCGCAATTTTAAGAAACGTACGGGCCACTACAGGAGCGCCCAAATTCATCCGATTAGAAACGTTTCTACTCTGTTTTTTTACCACAGCCGATAGCTGGGCCAAGTACTGGTGGTTTAAGACATGAGGTATCGTGAGCCGGGGACCAGGACAAAACAAAACACAGGGCTCCCGGATTTCTCGATTTATGCATGTCATCCTTGCGCAGGGGGGATGCTACTCAATATTCTCTGCCTCGTCACAATTTTAACGGATGTCCCGGAGGACAGTCAGAGCTGAAGATTCAGTGAAGAACACCACAAAACCCAAAAGGCAGAAAAGACGGAGATACGAGATGGGGCCGGAAATAGCAGGGGGATGGAAATCATGGAACCAGTGGATCTTGAAGCAAAGATAACAGGGATTTGATTCTTAAAAAAAAAAAAAAAAAAACAGGGATTTGAACCTGGAACTGGAGACAGGTAAGTAACAAGGGCATCAAAAGACACCTTACGGGGCAGACTCGAACCGTCCTTTTTTTTTTTCTTTTTTTTTTTTTAACGTCAGCCCGGTCTAGTAGCATGGGTGATATGAGCATCCCACCCTACTATCCCTTGGTGGGCGGACGGCTCTCCCATTTGATTGGTGGGAAGCTGCACTTGCTGGAAACCGGGCCCAGCGAACCTACCTATGACAAGTGAAACTGAAAAAATAGGACGTACGGGGTTTCAACTTTCAAGCTAGAGACCGGGTGAAAAACAGCACTCCTGCATCGGAAAACTGAGGCTCCCGCAAAGCCGCGCAAGGTGGATGAAAAACAGAACACTCTCCAGGCACAAGAAATGACCGGGCCATGACGACACGACAAGGCGTAGGCCGACAAGCACCGGGACCCCCAGCAGGATGAGGAGCTTGAGCCACAACAAATTGAAGCAGCGTGAAAAGCGCGGCGCGGCTACGTAACCAGATCCCTCTGGATTAACGAACTAATCAAACCCCGTACTCCATGGGGAAACGTCTCCTCCCCAGCCGATGAAACTGCTATAATGATACAATCCCTGTTTCTTTCCTGAAATGTTCTGCCCAACGTTAAGCTTGCCGGTAATGAGCAACCAGACTGGTGCCCCCCAGAATAGATGGCTCATGTGCCTTGTCTGTAAAACAAACAAACAAACAAAAAGAAAAGCCATAGGGCCTCGCTGCACTACTCTTGAAATGCACAAAAGACAAAAATCATGGCCGTGTATCTTTCCATATTCTAGCGGAAGATTCACTCTCGTTTT